TCATAATGGTCTTAAAAAGGTCCTAAATTAAATCTGTTGAAACCTGCAAAAAACCTGTGAATTATTTTCTGAGTCTGTTGGATGTGTAAATAGGAAGATGTTAGCCAACATGTCTGCCAAAACAAGGGTATAGGATGATAAAATGTCCATATTGTGCTTACAGCTTGTATATGTTACTCTGCTGATGTCGCTGTCGGACACTTTAAACCATAGAAGGAGGAACTGATGGGGAAAGTCGCCCTGTGCTGTGTTGGGTTGGAATAAAAACCTGTGTATGTGTTGCCTTCACTGACACGCGGCTGTTGTCCTTTGCATTATGACTGTGCAGTCAGTTAGTGATGTTATCTCTTCATTGCTTTTTGCAGCTCATCTATGAGAGCTTTGCCAGGTATCTGGTGGAGCATAAAGGCTATGACAAGGACCTGCTGAACCTAACCCCCGCTACCTGGGATTTCTGGTGAGTCAGCGGCAGCAGTTCCCCCAGCCTAGGGGGAACTAAAGAGGTATAATGAATGCCTAATTATCTTTCAGGGATATTAAGACTGTATTCATCAAATACTTGTGGTTAAAAAATGACTGTGACTCACAGTGTACCAACCTTCAGGAGCTGAAGGATTGCAAGCGTTCCTTGAGTCTGGCTTTTTCATTACAGTATTAGTTTTAGTTCAAGCTTTAAACACACAGAGACGTATTACTGAACATACAGGACGTAGGCTGTATGTACACATGTATGCACACATATTGTATACAAATTAAAGCAGCAGTAATTAACTTAAAACAAATATTGTCATATTTGCTGAAACTTTCCCTATATCCTGACAATAGTACATGAGACAGATAATGTGTGAAACAATCAGCTCCTCCTGACTAGGTTCCTCCTAGTGCTCCTAATGGCATTTGAAAGTATCCTTCAGGTCTGAACAAAAACAACCAGTCATCATCATCATCTGTCACTAACATGACCTCCAGTTTACCTCAATCCATGTAAATGCAGCGTAATTCATAACACTGTGTCTACAATACCTTGATACACAGATCTAAGTTCTTGCTTTTATGGAATGAAATACGAGAAAACATGTATCTTAAGTATATAGTATAATTATAAAATGCAGTAACGTATACAATAAGTAATAAAGATGGTATATAAACAAGCTTTAGTCTACACTTTGATAGCTAGGTTTAGTTAGTTTTGACATGAAAAAGACCTACATAATGCGTATACATGGAGTATAAGATAGGTGAAGCGTTATCACTTGAGATTTAAGGTTGAATGAGTTTGATGTAATTATTATCATGAAGTAATCCATTACACTTCTATAGAGCAAAAGTACATGTTGGGTGAAGGGCTCACTCTCCCTAAAATATCCCCAAATACTGTAGGAATATTATATAGACAAAGACATGCAAAAACAAACTGTAAACTACGGGTGTAAGAAAATATTTAGAATATCAATATTTTGTTTTGTAATATGATATTTGTTAAAAACAGTGTATAGATTTTTGTGTTTAAACTAGAAATAAAGCAATATTTACCAACCAATAGTTTTTCCTATTTAGGGCCAATACAGATACCGATTATTATTGAAAAAGTTAAAGAAAACAAAACGATAATTTAATTGTTGAACACATGAATGTATCAATAATTATAATCATATAGTATATATGATATTGAAATAGGCCATTCTGCACTTTCACTTTTTGTACTTTAAGTACATTGTGATGCTAATACTAGATTTAAGAATATATTGAATCGTAACCCCTGTATCGTGATTCGTATCTTATCACCAGGTTCTTGCCAATACACAGCCCTATTGTAAACATGCAATTCCTTTATTGGGAGTTAGGGTGCTGTTCAAGGTGCACAGTTCGGTGTCCCTTACACCTGGCCACCCCTTCCTAAGGGCTTGCTGAGTCCCCCCTCCCCCAAATCATAGCAAATTCTAACTGACACATCAGTCAGCCTTATCAATAAGAGCATGTAAAAATAGTTTTGGAGTTGTTTGAAAGGCTTATTTCTTCAATTTCTTCTATTGTTAACTGAATTTTGATGGCAAACAAGTGTATTGCCAAAAATATTTATTTGATTTTTACATGTTATGTCAGCTAAAGAAATCTGCAGTGGAAGCAAATGTCAAAAGGCCTTGTTCATTCTGTTCATGCTGCAAATTTTGTGTCCAGTTTTAAAGGGCTAGTGGTGGATCTGGAAGATGGAAACCTTGTGAAGCTGGCTGAAGATGGAACTGTTCTGCGGTATGTCTTTGTTGCATGAAATGTATTTGAGTTGCCTCCCAGAACATCTCTTAAGTCCTTTTTTTCAAAGTTTTCTTTGTTTTCACAGGCCTTTAAAGTGAAATAATAAAAAGTAATATTAAAAGTTTTATTTCTGGCTTGATTAGAGCGACACATGGAACCAATGACCTCAGCACAGAAGAGATCATCAAACATTATGGTCCAAAGAGGGAGTGGAAGCACTTCAACAGCCTCAATACCTCCTTCACAAGATCTGGTAAAATGTTTATATCCATCTTTATTACCTTTGCTGTTGGCTTTTAAGTAGGAGAATGGGCATTATCTGGAATTTTTCTCACATCATCCGTCACTAGATGTCACTAATTTACTTATCTTTTGTTTTGGTCTTTGCAGCAAAATACTATTTCTATGACAACTACTTTGATCTACCTGGGGCTCTCCTTTGTGGAAGAGTTGTGGACATGCTGCATAAGGTAATGTTTGATAAGGTACAGTTTCATATTAGTGGTTGAGAGGTTCGCATATTAATATGTAACTTTCTGTTTTTGTGTATAGCGAGGAAATGAGGTGAATTCCGACTTTTGGAAAGACATGGTTGCTGCCATCGACCACAATTACAACACATCTGCATTCAAAGGTACGCCTTTTATTCCAAAGCAGCACACATCTGAGTTAATTGCTTATTACTTGTCTTCCATCCATACTGTAAAGAAGAACAACACACACACACACACAGAGCCAACCACACACAACACACTGGATGCTTTTCTTTTTCAAACTAGAACTTTTATTCTGTGTTTTGGTCAGTAAGTGGTACATAACTTAACACATCCAATGGGACATAGTTGTTTTGAAAAAAAGAAATGCAGTTTGAATTTCTCATTCTGTGTTGTTTTGCTGATCACAGTGCTTGTGAGAATGTGCTGATCTCTAATAACATATAGTACAACAGTTTTGCGTGTCTTTTGTATGTATATTACAGGAAAATTCTTAAACAACAGACATTAATAAAAACAAACAAAAATAAAAGACATGCTGTAAATGTTACAGGCAGTTGTAAAGCACCACTTGAGATATCTTCCAATATTGTTTAATGTTTCTTAAAATTGCAAAGGCACACGGTGAACTAGGGAAAGGGATCAATTTCAACCATATATTCCAAAATTTTACTACGCATTGATACTTCTGTCAGTCGAGTAGTTTGTTAGCAAATTGCGCTCAAACGAGGCAGTTAAACTTGTAAAAATGACAACCATATTTATATTTAATCTACAATCTCAATTTGGATTTTTGTAAACTGATCTATTTCTCTGAGTAATTCAATGTTTTGTAAGGTTTTGAGGTTTATTTGGATTTGTGAAATCACGTTGAGGCAATCAAGAACCCAGAGAAAGAGCAGTGAACATTATCTGCTGCGAATATACCATTACTCTCCTCATCAGGGACCTGAATATAGACTCTGTCACCGGGATGCAGCATAAGAACAGCACTGCCTGACATCTGATCCAGGAAGCCCTTGTTGTACTCATCATAGGTGAAAACAACTGGTTCCTCGTTTTTGTAGAGGGCCACCAGTGCGTTGGCACCATTGACATGGATATGATAGCTGAAATAGTAGAGGCCTGGGATCTGGCAGGAAAACACACCACTTTGGGGGTCATAATGGTGCTCTCCATTGTACAGAACCTGGTTGAACTGAATAGGGCTTCCAGCTGGAGGGTAGGCTCTGGTCAGCACAGCACTGAAGGCAGACATGGGAGCCTTCATCATCTCATGAGACATCACAACCTCGTGGGACTTGATTGGCATGCTCTTCTCATGGTGGTAAACCACCTCTCCTGGTGGACCAGGTGGACCAGGAGGACCAGCGGGGCCTGGGAGACCATCGTGACCTCTGGTACCTGGAATTCCAGGTGGACCCTGAGGACCAGAAACTCCCTTAGCTGTCAGTCCAGCTGGGCCAGGTGGGCCTGGAAGACCTGGATGGCCCTTAAACCCTTGGGGACCTGCTGGACCAGGTGGGCCAACTGGTCCCATGGGTCCTGGCCTTCCGCTCTCGCCACTTTTTCCTGGTGAGCCTGGCATGCCTGTGTGTCCTTTTTGTCCTGGGGCTCCATTTGCACCTGGAAGTCCTGGGGAACCAGTATGGCCTTGTGAACCCTTTTGACCCTGAGCACCATTATGACCTGAGACTCCTGCAGGACCTACTGCCCCAGGGGTACCTGGTTTTCCAGTGAAACCCTGAGCTCCCTGCTCGCCTTTGGTTCCCCTTGGGCCTGGTGCACCTACCATACCAGTGTCGCCTTTGGGTCCTTGGGGGCCTGCCTCACCCTGGAATCCTCTTGCACCCTGTGGACCAGCTGGGCCAATGGGCCCAGGAGCACCTGGTTGACCAGTAAAACCAGTTGGGCCGGGCTCTCCTTTCTGACCAGTGGTTCCTGAAGTACCGGGGGATCCCCTGCTACCTGGTATTCCTGGTTCACCTGTTTTGCCAACACCTGGCATGCCAGGGGAGCCAGGCTGACCAGCAGGACCCTGTGGACCTTTAGCCCCCATTGGTCCAGGCATACCTGGTGTACCATTCTGGCCTGGTTTCCCTGGTGCTCCTGTGCCTGGAGCCCCTGTGTGACCCTTTGCACCTGGCATACCCATTGCCCCAGGACTACCATCTCTTCCTGGCATGCCACTCTTGCCAGGTTCTCCAGGATAGCCAGGTGCACCAGGTTTACCAACCCCAGGTTTGCCTGGCATACCAGATGGGCCCATTGGTCCAACCGCGCCTGGTGGTCCTTGAACCCCAGGAACTCCAATACCTCTTTCTCCTTTGATGCCAGGAAGTCCAGGAATACCAGGATGTCCCTTCAAACCTGCCTCTCCTCTTGGTCCCATTGGCCCAGGGAAACCAGCAGCTCCAGGTTTTCCAACAGAAGAAAGTCCAGCAGGTCCAGGTGTTCCAGGTGTACCAGGTGCACCTCTGGGACCCATTTGTCCACTCGGGCCAGGAGGACCTCTCTCACCTGGGATACCAGGGCCACCTGGTTTTCCATTGCCACCTGGGGAACCAGGTTTACCTGCTTGAGAGTAGCCAGGGGATCCGGGAGGTCCTGGTGGGCCTTGTGGTCCAGTGTGTCCCACACCACTCTTTCCAGGGGGTCCAGGTGGTCCCATTGGTCCTGGCTCACCTGGAGGACCTTGAGGACCGGGCTGGCCTTCAACAGCTAGGGAATACATAAATACAGGTGATAAGTATTCATGTAAAAAGATTCACTTCATACGGGTTAGATCAGTTTGGTTCAGATAGATGTTTATAGTGGCATGTAGTAAATTGTCTATGTACTGAATGATTAACTTTAATGTAAAAAGGGTACTGCACAGTATTCCAATGGTGTTGTAGATGGATATTGAAAATACACATACCAGCACACAATTGATACAGAGAACATCCTTATTTCTCCCCAAGGTAATGAAAGACTGAAATGGAGTGTAAACGATCAAGAGATTGCTTCATTTTGAGGATTTCTCTCCACATTCTTGAAATCTTTGTGCCTTTTCAGTGCATTAAATAAGCTACCTCCTTGGTCCTTAGGTTAAACCCAAGGTTTGGTATTCTCCAAAAGACTGACCTGACTTAAACGACTACTCTCTCTTCTCACCAAGCTAATGTCTACTGGCATGGGACCGAGGAAACCAGCTTCTGTGCATCTCAGTTTCTTTTGCCCGCACTATACTGCACCCTTTAATTTCCTGCACTGGCCATGGCTGTAAATGTATAGTTAGTGGTCTGCAAGTTGTCAGCATCACCTTGATGCATTTCCTGCCACATAGAGTAGATTTTATGGGCAAGGTCAAATCAGTGCATATATGCTCTAAATTCGTCAGTTTGTTGTTTTACTGGAGGTTATTGCTCACTCATCTATATTCATCACTAAAGTCAACATACAAATAAACTTAAAGCCGACATGTGGTAGTGGAGACATGTGGTAGTGCTTTTTCTAGTATCAATATTTTTTATGCTTTTTATTGATTTAACAGTTTAACAGTAGAGAGATGACAGCAAATGAGGGGTCAAAGAGGTTGGGAACTCCTAGGCCAACAGGACTTATTTGTGACAGCTTACAAAAAGGAAAATGCTAGTTAAGTTACAGCTAATTTACATAGTGCAAACGTGACATTAAATGTGTCTTTAAATTCTATGTAATAAGTCACAATGGAAAATGTAAACATTATATTTCCAAGCATACGTATATATATATGGGTAACTATATTAAGAATATAGGTACCATTTAAGTATTGCAATAAAAGGAATAAACAACTATCAGGGCTTTAAGAGTAAAAAGGCTTGAACAGTAGAGTCCAGGAAATATCCTAATTTCTGAACTGTGCACAAAGAGCATCTCTGATAAAATTGCTATCACACTGCTTATCCTTTATACACTGTAATTCTGGATGCATCATTGCCAAAAGAGAACTATGACCTGTCAAAGAATCAAATCCACTAGTGCTGGCCTCTCTTTTCAGATGTTTGGTGTGTTTTGAGACAATGTTTTGACAGGGCTGTCATTTTCAAGCCACATAAAGCTATGCCTGAAACCCCACAGGGGATATTTGTGCCAGAACTGGACTTTTTGGCAGCCAGAAACACCACAAAGTGGAGGTGATGATATTGGCCAACAGTAGCTGACCCAGGAGCTGAACCATGTGTGACCTGTTAACACTGCAAAGTACTATTCTGCTTGGATTCAGTGTAGTACATATATCCATTCTCAGTTTGGTTGCCTTCAATAACTTAGTAAGTTAGTTTATTCTGTAGTTTTTTTCATCCTCTGTAGTGAAAAACTATAGAGTGAAGCTTCACTAAATTTGCTGTGGTTTGTTAGATTTACAGTTCAAAAGCATTTCTTTGCATTCTGTGTTTGTTTTTTTTGTTTTTTTTCATTCTAATTGTGCGATGTGATTTTAATACCACAAAGCAGTTTGTTAGGGCGTGCCCGCAACGTGGTAACAACATCTGTTTTGGAGATTCGTCAAATTTGAGCTCTTATTGTCGACTTTACTATTCTATTTATATGTGGAGGCACACAGTGAAACCACATCAGAACCTCTTCAAAACAAAACTGGAGGAAAACAGAAATCTTAACTGTCAAATGCAGAATTTGAATCATTGTTTAGTTGGGATATAAAGTATAGTGTCATACATCATCCTGGCAGTTACATCATAACCACTGCTCTGGTTTTTTTTTTTTTTTATGACACATGCAAAAGTGACAGTTGCCTTCTTGAACCTTTTTTTATTCAGAACGCAAGTGCTCTTTTACACCCAACCTCACAGTTATATACAGTTATACACATTCACAGCAGTTCAGCCAGTTCAACCACAGCCCTCTGCTCTTCTGCTCTGAGCCAATAAGACGTTGCGCAGGACCTGCTGGGTGTGCACCTTGAGGCTAGTTAATGGCGGCGTTTGGGGCAGCCTCATTACTGATGTGTATGAGCCGACAGTCTGCCGGGTTGCAATAAGAGGTCAGGGTACTGATGGTAATGATGATTAAGATAATGACTTGCAGTTATTTAAGATATATTGCAGTAAGGTGGTGTATTTTCCAGAGTTTGTAGGTTATCATGGTTTCAGGATAAGTG